TCCACCAACATCCAACATCTATGTATCTCTCACATTCTTTTTCTATTGTCTTTTTCTTCCTTATTTATAACTAAAATTAAGGTTGACATATTTAGTTTATGTTGCTTGTTAAAGTTTTAAATGAGTAAATATTATAATTTTATGTGTTATACAGAGTAAAATTTGTTACAATTTGTGAGATATTTATAGACAAATTTTACTTTAATGTACATAAATGGATTGAATCGAATTGTCAAACCGGATATCCAAAAGTTAATGGATTCGAATATGGATTAAAAATTTCATAAATTATTATCGAATTTGAATTTGAATATAGCAGAATCTGATCAATATCCGATCTGTTGAGATGTCAAGGACTGGTGGCATAATCATGTAAGCAAGGCAAATACAGCCTCATACCTAAGAGTCAATGCCAATCCCAATCTCATGGGCATATTATCGACAATTTCAACCTGGAATTACTTAAGAAATCCCACTCCAACTGCAACTTGGCACCAACTTGTATGATATAGCCAAGCCATACCAATGACGTGCTTCAACTTGTGTGATATAGTCAAGCCATACCAATGATGAGCTTCATTCTTTGGCTAGCCATCAGACAAAGGCTCAGCACTAGGGACCGAAACCATAACCTATGCTGCACACTTGGGGACTACAATGCATGCTACGCAGAGCTAACTCATAATTTCACTCTCACCTTTTCTTTGAGTGCCAATACTCCAAGAGAATATGGCAACAACTGCTGGCACAGGAAATGGACCAAAACTGGCCTCACAGACCATGGCCAAACTTCATTGTGTGGGCTGCTCATTTCTGGAGAGGCAAATCTATGCTCAAAGTTGTGCAAAGACTTTGCTTATCCAATTCAGTCTACCGGATTTGGAGGGTGTGCAACAATAGAATCCATTGTTAGTTTTTTGTGGAGTCTAATTTGTATATGTGATTCGGATGATGACCCGACCCGAAGTAATGTTGTGTGGTTTTTTAATGAAAAATTTTCTGAGGCTTAGTCCATGGAGCGAATGCTTGGGCCAATTTGGGCCCGTTTTATAGCCCTGTGCGTAGGACATATAAAACCCGTTGTTTTGGTGATTAGGGTTAAAATGGTAGATTGTACAACCGCTCTCTGTATTCAACTCTCAAAATAGTGAAATCCCTGCAGCTTCGTGGATGTAGGCAAATTGCTGAACCACGTAAAATCTGTGTATTGTTCTTTCTTGTTTCTTATTGTTTTATATTCTTAATTTGTTTTTCAATTGTGTGTGATTGTTAGTGGATTTAAATTGTTGTTAAATCACAACATCCATACCTACCTCTATAAAAACCCTCATTAATTCTCACCTTAAGATCATTATGCAGTTCATCAGGGAGAGAATGGCCTCCCTAAAGTTCAAGTCTTCACTGCAGAATCACTTTCTGGCTCAAAAGTGGCAACTCCTTGCCCCTTATATCAGCTCTGAAATTATTTAGCAATTTTTGTTTTCCACATCTATCTTAAGTACCCCTAAACGCACCTCCTACAGATTTTTTGCTTTTGTCAATGCTTGTTTCTTCTCAACTCTTCCTTTGTACACACGTACATTTGCTTTAATTCAATGAAATTTACTTTCCGAGACTTTTTAACTATATACTGGTTTTTTTTATTCAACGATCAGGGGTGTCTGGGCTAATTTACATACTACTCAACTAATCTCATCTCTGGTTATCTATGTCGGGATTAGGGTATTTATCAAGAACAAATTCCTCATGGTATCACCCTAAGAATTATCAAGATTCGAACTCATGATGTTTTACAACTCGTCTTTGCAATCATTTGAGATACCTTTGAGGTTAACTATATACTGTCACCACTACTACACTCCTCCAAATCACAGCATGAACAATTGAAAAATCTGTAGAATATAATAGCAATACCCGGATTGGAACAATCTTAGTGGAGGAATAGATGAACAAGCTCACGTCAGAACCCTATTGTCTCTCTTCTTATGCTTGCCTTTTCTGTATTCTTACTCTCAAATAGAAGAGTAAAAATAAGATTCGATTAAAAGAAAGAACCCTAATATTTTTTTATAACCTCTCACACTAGTACTCATGGACCTAGACAATAGATATACCAAACGAATCCTTAAACATACAAGTAATTAAGTGAGGGTACTGAAAATCACTCGGGAAGTAAACTAACCCCACATTAGATGGGGAATCTCATGCGCTTCATTCCCAATTCTTAGATAACATGTGTAGGACAGCTTTGTACAGCTGAGCCTGTATAAGCATGGTGGTATCATATACTGGACAGAACCTATGTAAGGATTTGATAAACAAAAAAGAATCATTGAAGGTCAATTTCATATGTACAACTATATGTCCACGATAAGCACTTATTAGTTATTAGGAAATGCAGTGTAACCAAGGAAACGCAGCCCCATAGCCAAGACTATATGTGCTTAGTTATAGTGATTATAAGTTCCAATAATCTCTAATCTCTCTACCCCCACTCTTACACCATCAAGTACTTTGATGTCCAATCCAACAGCAAACTACACCTAACCGAGTGAGGCAATTATAAAGTGTCATTTTTTTTTTAAAAGGGGTGCAACACGAGAACTTCCTAGCGGGTCACCCATCCTAGTACTACTCTCGCATAAAATGTCCTTCAAAGTTCCCCATAGTCGCACAAATTGCTCCTGATATTGATTATACTCAACCACTGTCCTAACAAAAACAATGTGAATTTCTTCAAAGGGCATTATTCTCACCCTAATAATCTGACACATTACAGAACACAGTCCTTTTCCTTCCTGGACAGCAATTTTTTCCTGGAAAACAAGCCCCACTCCTCAAATAAGATGTTTTTAGGTCATTTGTGGATTTTTCTTTCTGAAAATTGATGAAGTACGATCCCCCATAAAACATGGATGAAACCAGTGTAAAACTCTTGTACTGTACTTGCCGGTGACAGTGCCTCCTATAGTCTTATCTCATTGTTTAAAACTAAATTTTAAGAGAGCATCATGAAATGTATACGTTTGAAATTTTCTTAACAGTGCGACAAGGTCTCTTATCAGCAGACAGATTATGGCCTAGATAAAAAATGTTACTTTGAGAAGAGAATTAACAAAGGGCCTGAATTTGGTGCTAAGTCTATGCCTGCTTATTCCCCCGACCATCTTGCTGATGACAAAGTCCTATGGACTCTCATTGCAAATTGTCGATTTTCTACCACTTTTGCTTGGCACTACATCAAAGAAACTAGTCAGAAAATTCCTGGGTCGAAGCTTGTTTGGCACACACATCTCATTCCCAGGATGAGCTTTATTTTATGGCTAGCCATTAGGCAAAGATTATATACCAAAGACAGAGCTCATTCTCTTGCCAATCAAGTGGATTTGGGATGCGCTCTTTTTTGAATGCACCTTCTCCCATGGTGTTTGGAGATCCATTCTCACCTGCAGCCAAACTCAATGGTCTCCTTCTCCTTGGCACTCCTTCATTAATTGGGCTGCTATCAATTGGAAGGGAATATCTATGCTCTCTGTCATCCTTAAGCTTAGCCTTGCTTCTATGGTTTATCATATATGGATGGAGAGAAACTTCAGAGTGTTCTCTAACCAATTCAGGGACCACAACTCTCTGATTCAAGTCATCAAACAAACAATCAAAGACAAACTCATGTCTACTAAATTCAAGTACTCCACCCAAAATCGTAGGATGCTGCATCCATGGGATCTTCCTCTCAACTGCTTATCATGATTCCTTTTGAGGACTATTTTTGTATAATCTTAGGACTTGAATTCTTGGAGAAGTGTTGAGTATCCTCTTTACTTCCCTCTAAATTCTGGTCTTTCTTCTCTATTTTGTTGGACAACATTAGTTGTACTTTTGTTTGCTCATGTATAGCTTCTTTTCAATACAAACTTTACCTTTCAAAATTTGGTGCTAAGTGCTAATAGGTGCAGTAACTATGCCTAGCTAAATTCTGGGCTTTGTTTGATGGCGTCAATACTAGCTTTCATAATCAACCTGCCAAAGAGACATCAAAGTAGTAGTGCAATTTTACAAGTGCAAACACACTGATTCTGGACAATACGATGAATCGAAAAATGTCACTGCTATTGATAATGATGACGCAAAGTAACAAAGGTGAAGATCTTCAGACAAATTGAAATATATCAGTTGTTAAATTTTGACATAGTTGGGAAGCTACACGGTATGTGTTCATACGAATAATGCTCTAGGCAAAAGGGAAAAAAAGAAAACAAAAAGAAAAGGTGCAAAACAAAAGACAAAGGGAAAAAAGGAATTTATAGAGGAAACTGTTGAACTGAAGGAAAAAGAAACTAAAGAAGAAACTCCTCAATCAAAAGCGTTGAAACTAAAGAAGTATTTTCCATCCACATTAAAACAAGTTTATGCTGAAAAGATCAAAGGGAATAAGGGAAGGACTGAGGAAGCTCTTGATTGAAACTAGGGTAACATTGCATACTCGTGTTTTCCTTCAACAATAGAGTAAGTTCTTGCTCTCTCTCTCTCTCTCTCTCTCTCTCTCTCTCTCTCTTCAAGATTAATGAAGAGAATTGAAGGAAATACTTAGGTAGTTGGGGAAAGAATCAAAGAGAAATTAGGGATTTCATACCAGATGATGGTGGTGATTCAAATTTACCAATTATAAGTACTAGCACTACTCTCCGATGGTGAAGGAGAATATATAACAAAGAAATTAAGAATCCAACTGGGGGTTATGACAAAACAATAGATGATGAGGGTGATACAAATTTTATTAACCAGTTATAGAAGTATTGAAGATGACAGATAAGAAGAAACAAACAAAGAATGAAACATAATGAAATGGGGATTATGATAAAACATGATGGAAGGTGATGCCAATTTAAACCTAGTACTTGAAATGCCCTAATACTCACAGATGATGATTTTAAAAACAAATGTACAAAGATCCGTGGTGAGATTGGAAGGATGAACATAAAATGGAAGATTGATTGAATTTACGAACTTGTACTTGCACTCTCAGATGAACTCAGGAGTTCATCTAGCAGATCTGCTCCTAAGTCTTCAAGTACCAAAACATTGTTAGAAATTCCCGAGACCCATGGATCACTTCCTGCATTTTTGACCTTCCCTTTCTTTGTCCTACCTTTTGACATACCTTTCATCTTGTGTGTTTCCTTCAGAGCTGCAGCTGGGGAATATCCATTCTTGTAGCTGCACGTCAACTGCATGCCTCGAAGCGACTCCTGAACTCTCTCCTTTGGGAAATTCAGGAGAGCTAACTGGCCTCGCATCGTCAATGCTGCTTGATCATAAGCCAAAGCGGCCTCCTCAGCACTATCAAAGGTTCCGAGCCAAACCCTCATTCCTCGTCTTGTTGAGTCCCTAATCTCGGCCGCAAACTTTCCCCATGGTCGCCTTCGAACTCCTATGTAGTGCTTTTGCTTTAGATTCTCTTCTTTCGCCCTGGAATTGACCTTTTCTCTGTTTTTCCCTTTGGAGAAATCAATTTTCAGCGATTCTTGGACTTCCTCGGTGAAGATATTGAATTGAAGATTCTCATTTGCCGCATCAGCTTTGTGTAGTGATAGCAAATTGTCAACAAAAAAAAGGTCACCCCAAGATGAGGATCGAGAATCTGGAGAGAGTTTAACACTTGGGTATTGAGGGGTTGAAATATTCATCTGCAAATTGATGACTTCTGGGGTCTAAACTTGATGCCACCTGCTCTGTTGACAAAGTCTTCAATGGAGTCTAAATGCCTAAAAAGAGATTAAGGCTTTGTCATGTTTCAAGGGGGTATGAGATGGGAAAAGGGATTCCATTATGATAAAGTGGGAGGTAAAGAGCTTGGAATGGAGGATTTAATTTCGTGACAGTGTTTCTAAAATAATTATATGTGTGACTGTGTGAGGGTAAACCTCAGGGTCTAAAACTTTGAATAAAGCAACACGCCTTGGCAAGTTTGGTGTCAATAAGACTAGTTTGATGCCAGGCTTGTCCAAGTGGCTATTTTTACAATCTGATTATATATTGGACCCATGTAGGTTGCATTTATCATTTGAAAAACAGAAATATGGTCTGATTATTGAACTGAGGTCCCAGTGGATACATAGATTATTTGAGTGCATTAATTTATGTGTAAAAGGATCGGAAGGGAATGGGTGGGGGCTGAAAGGAGTGAAAAAGTGACAGGAAGAAGATGAGCTCTTGTTGCTTTCAGTTTCAATTTGACAATGTTTTCAGTTGTCTGATTTTTTTACGACTTAATTTATTAATATGTAATGAATATCCAGTTTTATCAAATTTGTTAGAAACATTAGTCTCTTTAGGCATTCTAAGAAATTTTTTTACAATCATTTGAATATTAAACAAGATTTATAATAAAAAGAAAAGAGCAATACTATTGAGATTTAATTTATTTATATAATTTGTTGACCTAAATTCATTATGACATTTGGAACTTGGAGTTAATTCAATAGTTCCCATAAAACCATATTATTAGGTTAATAATTTAAGTCAGATTTTTAATTCTAAATAACATTATTTAGAAGAAAAATAAACTTTTGTTATGAAAGCATTCGACAATAGAAACAAAATTTCTTTTAACGATCAGTTTAATATATAGACATATAACGATTAGTATGTGCATCAGTAATTTATAAAAAGATGGGAAGTGAATGAGTAAGATGAGAGGAGGGAAGAAAGAGACAGAAAGAAGGTGACCTTTTATTGTTTTACTTGTTTCAATTGACAGTGGTTTGAAATGCATAGTTTCTTAGGTTCTCATGCCAAATCTAATATAAAACATGGCAGAAGAAGTAAGATATGTTGTTGTCTCCAGTCTTATCGAATAGGTGGAATCAAGAGTTAAGTCTTGGGTCAATCGATCAAGTTCATTTGCAAGATGAGTTTAACTTGTCATCTCAATTCTCATCATCTTGCACATTTTTTGGGCTTCTCATTTGAGCCATAGAAGATTATTCATAGAATTGAATAGATCCTGAGATCTTTTATTTGGAAAGTGTTGTGATCGTGCAGCAATTATGGTGAATAGTAAGGAATCAAACAATTGGGAAAGCAGGAGAAAATAACACACAGAGATTTACGTGGTTCGACAATGTGCCTACATCCACGAGAGCGAGCGGCTGTTCTTTTTCTATTATAGAATAGGGTTACATCTTAAATATTTATATAACCCTAATATGGACGTATTTACAAAAATACCCCTGTATCGTACCGCGGGGGCGTTGCCCCCGCACCCCCAACTAATCAGCATCCCCTTTATATAAATCCCGCAAGGCAAATGCCATCGCGGGCTCCGTCCGCTCCAGCATCTGCCTCCTTACCATTATGCACACAGCAAATATGAGCCACACATACTCTAACAATCTCCACCTTGGCAAATATTCACCCTTTAGAAGAAAAAGAGGACATGTATTCGGGAACTCCACCGGGGACGCTGAGTTGAGGCATCTCCCATCTAGCAACTAGAGACATTAATGAAGTCCAAGCAGTGCTTGAACTTGTCTGTAGTAACAGATTTTGTCAACATATCTGCTGCATTCTCAGAAGTGTGAACTTTCTCAAGTAATAGTTCACCAGAAGAAACCAGTTCCCTGATCTTATTAAACCTCACATCTATATGTTTGGTCCTCGCATGATACACTTGGTTCTTTGCCAAATAAATGGCACTCTGACTGTCACAATGCAATTGAACTCCACCTTGCTGGGCACCCAGCTCCTTGACTAAACCTGTAAGCCACAAAGCCTCTTTGGCAGCCTCAGCTACTGCCATATACTCTGACTCAGTAGTAGATAGTGTAATTATAGGTTGTACCATGGACTTCCAACAAATAGGTCCTCCCACAAGAGTAAACACATAACCTGTGGTAGACCTCCTGTCATCTAAGTCCCCTGCATAGTCTGCATCCACATATCCCATAACTGAAGGGTCACTCTGTTGTCTGCTAAACCTGATGTCATAGTCTGTAGTGCCCCTCAAGTATCTGAAAATCCACTTGACTGCATCCCAGTGCTGTCGACCTGGATTTGAAAGAAACTTGCTAATCACGCTGACAGCTTGTGCCAAATCTGGTATTGCACAAACCATAGCATACATTAAACACCCCACTGCACTAGCATATGGGACCTTTGACATGTCATGAACTTCATCATCTGTCTTCAGGCACTGAGCGGTAGACAATCTGAAATGATTCGCCAAAGGTGTACTTACTGATTTTGCATAACTCATGTTGAACCTGTCCAACACCTTCTCAACATAGCTATGCTGAGATAGCCATAATCTCCTGGAAGCTCTGTCCCTGCGAATCTCCATCCCAAGAATCTTCTTGGCCGCACCCAAATCCTTCATGTCAAATTCTCTACTCAACAAAGTCTTCAACTTGTTGACCTCACTCATACTCTTGGCAGCAATCAACATATCATCCACATTAAGTAACAGAAAAATAAATGAATCATCATCAAGCCCTTTTACATAGACACAACAATCATACTCATACCTTTTGTAGCCAATTCGGATCATGTAAGAGTCAAATCGTTTGTACCACTGCCTCGGAGACTGCTTCAGCCCATAAAGTGATTTCTTCAAATTACAGACCAAATGTTCCTCTCTAGGGAGACTGAACCCTTCTGGTTGTACCATGTAAATCCGTTCCTCCAAGTCGCCATGAAGGAAAGCTGTCTTTACATCCATCTGCTCCAACTGCATATCTGAATGTGCTACTAGTGCCAACACTGTCTTGATGGAAGTGTGTCTGACCACGGGGGAGAAGATCTCATCATAGTCAACCCCTTTTCTCTGTGAGTAACCCTTTGCTACTAGACGAGCCTTGAATTTTTCTCCCTCATTTTCTGATACTGCTTCTTTCTTCTTATACACCCATTTGCACCCTATTGCTCTCTTCCCCTCGGGAAGTTCCACCAACTCCCACATCTGGTTCTTATGCAGAGACTCCATCTCCTCCACCATAGCACCCATCCATCTACTTTTCTCTTGGCTTTGTACTGCCTCCTGAAAAGTTGTAGGATCCCCGCTACTAGTAATAAGCGCATAAGAAACCAACTCTTCAAAACCATACCTGGTAGGTGGCTTGATATTGCGTTTGGGCCTGTCTGTGGCTATACTATGATGTTGTTGATCACCTGAGATAGAACGCTCTACATGCTGAGCATCCTCTTCTCTACCATGATTCTTTAGCTCCACCTGCACCACATGGTCATTAGTGCTACAGTTTTCTGGTACTTGTTTCACTTCTTCCTGAGTACGCTGCAACATGGCTTTTTCATCAAAAACCACATCTCTACTGATCACCATCTTGTTTGCCTTCGGATCCCAGAGCTTGAAACCTTTCACTCCTTTCTGATATCCCAGAAAGATACACTGTCTAGACTTCGCATCAAGCTTCGACCTCTCCTCACTAGAAACATGTACATAGGCTGGACATCCAAACACTCTCAAACCAGAGTAGTCTATCTCACTGCCTGTCCACACCTCCTCTGATACTTTCCCATCTAGTGCTGCCCTCGGTGATCTGTTAATCAAGAAACATGCCATATTCACTGCCTCTGCTTAGAAATTCTTTGCAAGCCCTGCATTCAACCTGAGACACCGAGCTTTCTCGGCTATCGTTCTGTTCATCCTTTCCGCTACACCATTTTGTTGTGGTGTCTTGCGGACTGTAAAGTGTCTCTTGATCCCATGCTGCTCACACAACTCCTGGAACTTTGAATCTGTGTACTCAGTACCATTATCTGACCTGAGGCATTTAATCTTCCTCCCTGTCTGGTTCTCTACTTCAGCTTTCCACAGCTTGAACTTGGCAAACGCTTCTGACTTGTGCCGCATGAAGTACACCCAGACCTTTCGTGAGTAATCATCAATGAAACTCACGAAATACATGTATCCTCCCCGTGATAGTACGCTAACTGGTCCCCAAACATCTGTATGGACATAGTCGAGAACCCCCTCTGTCTTGTGTGTGGCTGTCTTGAACTGCACCCTATTCTGTTTTCCAAGAACACAATATTTGTAAAAATTGAGCTTGCATGTCTTGACACCCTTCAATAGATTTTTCTTATGAAGCTCTATCATCCCACGCTCACTCATATGACCCAGCCGCATATGCCACAAGACTGTATTATCTGATTCAGACTCTACAGCAGCAACTCCACCTACAATTGTAGTACCCAGCAGTCTGTAAATGTTTCCTACTACTTTCTGTCCCTTCATCACTGTCAGCATGCCTTTACTTACTTTCATTACTCCACTTATAGATTTGTAACTATAACCATTACAATCCAAAGTGCCCAATGAAATCAAACTCTTCCTTAGATCCGGTACATGTCTAACATCACACAACGTTTTAACCATACCATCAAACATCTTAATTCTAATATTTCCTATTCTAACAACTTTGCAAGATGCATCATTACCCATCAGAACAGAACCAGAATTTACTGACCTGTAGGTGTCAAACCAATCTTTGTTGGGTGTCATGTGATAGGAACATGCTGAATCCATAATCCAAGAATCTGTTAAACGATCTGAACTAGATAAAACAGAAAGCATATCTCCGTCACCACTCTCTGAATCTTCTTCTTCCACTACGTTTGTAGACTTTGATGCACCCTCTTTGTTCTCTGAATCCCCTTTCTTTTTCTCTGGACAGTCCCGTTTAAAGTGCCCCTTTTTCCCGCACTTGTAACATGAGACAGAGACGTCCTTCTTCTTCTTCCTCGACTTGGACCGGGCTTTATTGTTACCCGATCCATTCCGAGATTTGCTTCTTCCACGTTCCTGGTTACCTTTCACCACAAGCCCTTCACCTTGTGAAGCCTCATCACGGACTTTCTTCCGCTGATGAAAACCTAACAGAGCACCTGTGACATCCTCCAATTCGAGGGTTTCTTTCCCCCACATCAGAGTCATAACCAAATTCTCGTACGTAGGAGACGCCGGTAGGAAATTCAGCAACATCAGCGCCTTGTCTTCGTCTTCGAACTTCACATCAACTCGTTTCAGATCGCTGATGATCTGATTGAACATGTTGATGTGTTGGGTCAAATCCGAGCCCTCTGACATCTTAAGACCATATAGTTTTTGCTTAAGATAGAGCTTGTTCGTCAACGACTTGGACATATACCGACTTTCCAGTTTCAACCAAACTTCCGCCGGTGATTCCTCATCCATGACGTGATACATCACTTCATCAGCCAGACAAAGCCTAATAGTCGCCACAGCCTTCGCTTCCAATTCTTTCCAATCCATGTCGTCCATTCCTGCCGGTTGTTTTCCGTATAATGCCTTCACCATGCCCTGCTGCACTAACAGGTCCTTC